TTTCTTGCTCACTCTCTCTCTCTCTTCAAACTGTTCTCTTTGTTTTCCTTTTCTTTTTTCTTTCCATTATTTTTTTCTTTTTGCATTTCATTTCATATCTATCTTTATTTCTTCCTATCAATTGTTCCTTTCCCCAATTTTCTAATTTTCATCACCTTCTTTTTGCTTTCTCTTGATATCAAATTATTCACTTACTTTTTACCTTTTCTTCGTAGCCATTATTTCTTTCATACTCTTTTTCTTCTGTTTGCTTCTTTCTTTCATATTTTTTTATGAGTTCACAGGGTTTTTTCTTATATCCTGCTTTCTGATTGTGTCTTTTTACCCAATTTCCTGTAAAAAAAAAACCAATATTCCAATATCGATTGAAGATAAGCTTTGTACCTGTCTATAGAGGTACGACGCGAAACACTTTTTTTTGTAAGGAGTCGGCTGAAGGCTGAACTGTAGAAGAAGCAATTATTTTCCCTTCTTTCTCGTTCTTTTCGCTGGCAGGATTCCGATTGCTTTCGTGTCTACATTGATAGCATTTCTTTCAGAAAAATTGAAGAACCGTAGAAAAGACAAACTTGCTTAATATTTCATATCTTGTCTCATTCTTCAAATTTCCAGCTATTACTTTGGGAATAGATTTCGCTATTCTGTTTTATTATCTAGACCAATCAATCAATCAATCAATATATATATATATATATATATATATATATATATATGATTCTTCAAATGAGTTCACCCCATGTAAGGCAGTAAAGCCATTAAGACACAAGGGATTACTGGGTGTGGATGAATTAGAAACAGAGATATTAAATGTCTATATGGGATAAGGTATTATGTACATTATTTCCATTATTCGGACTATTGTCCTCATCTTTGTCGCCATATTTTAGATCAGCAGCGCTGGGTAAAAAACGAAGGAAACAGACGAACTCTTTTTAAACACCAGTTTTTCAGCCGCGGCGAGAACTTCATGTCCTCTAGGACACATGGCACAGTGGATAAAGGCGTTGGTTAGATCCAGTGACATAACCCAAAGTGTGTCAGTTCAATACCCGGTTAAGGCAGTGGAGAACTTGGAGAGGGGAGCTAACAGGAGATAACTGATAACTGACATCCATTAAACATGACACATAGAACTAGAACAGTCTACCCCAGTGAGCGAAATAAAGGGTTCAGTTCGACATTCCAACCACCTGATGAAGGCCGGAGCGTACAACGGCCGAAACGTTGTAATAAATATGGCGACAAAGATGAGAACAATTCTCCAAATAATGTAAATAAGGTACATAGTACCTCATCTCAGAAAAAAAGACAGAATTTGTTTAAGGTAGATCTCAATTTGTCAGTAACTGCCCCCCCCACTCATGACTTTCCTCTGCGGCACATATGGTATGAGACCTGCAGAATCCAGTTATGAAACTGCAGAATGGACTGCCGATGTCTGCTATAATTTCGAGTGGCGTCTTCTGTAGCATGTCCATGATGCGTAGCCTTCATCCGCTGGTTCAACCTTTGAGATATGTTGTATTCCTCATCCGCTTGTTCCACTGTTGGGATCTTTGGGGGGGGTCGCACGTAGTCTTGATCCTGTTCAACATTACAGCTAAGGGTGGCCCTACCAGGTGTTTAGAATTCACGATAGTATCGCTTTGAATCACTGAGCCACGCAAACTGCTCCACCACGACAAGGAGCGACACTTAACCGGGTATTGAACTCGCACTCTTTGGGTCCTGTCACTGGATCTTACTAACGGCTTTATCCACTGTGCCATGTGTCTTTGAGGACAGGACCCAAACAGTGTGAGTTCAATACCCGGTTAAGGCAGTGGAGAACTTTCAGAGGGAAATTAACAGGAGATAACTGATAACTGACATCCATTAGTCATGGGACGTGGAACTAGAACAGTCTACCCCAGTGAGCGAAATAAAGGGTTCGGTTCGATATTCCAACCACCTGAAGAAGGCCGGAGTGCACAACGGCCGAAACGTTGTAATAAATATGGCGACTAAGATGAGGACAATAGTCCGAATAATGTAAATAATAGAGATATTAACAATGAGCGGGAAGTGAAAAGAGTAATTAGGAGGACAGTAGATAGCGATTGATATTGAACTAAAAAATGTTGATGATTAAAGTTGACTGGAAAGCATGGAACTGGAGGGGACTTTCACAAGCGAGAAGTGCGAGAAAAGAAACTACTAACAAAGAATTTACGGTTATATATTAGCCAGCTCAATTGTAAATTGATGAGATCTCTACGATTTTTCTGGTACTGCGTTTTAAATGAAAAAAATTGTGGTACCACATCAAAGAGCTCATCCTAAGAATTACCTTGAAAGTATTTTTTAGAAAAGTCACAAGGAGACAACCTTACGATGGTGGGTGGGTGACTAAAACCGAGAGGCCAGATCAGAACTAGTAATATTGCTGATTATTCTCTGGATTTTATCAAGGAGCTATCTCTCTCTTTCTCTCTCCCTGTCTCACTCTCTCTCTCTCTCTCTCTCTCTCTATATATATATATATATATATATATATATACACACACACACACATATATATATATATATATATATATATATATATTATCTGACGTGCTGTTAACCATTTATAAACAGTAATTAGAACTTTGCTAACTATATATATATATATATATATATATATATATATATATATATTCATATATATACATGTGTGTGTCTAGATGTATATAATGTATATATATATATATACACACACACATATATATATATATACATATATATATTATCTGACGTGCTGTTAACTATTTAGAAACAGTAATTAGAACTTTGCTAACTATATATATATATATATATATATATATATATATATACATGTGTGTGAGTACATGTATATAATATGTATGTATATATATATATACACACACATATATATATATATACATATATATATTATTTGACGTGCTGTTAACCATTTATAAACAGTAATTAGAATTTTGCTAACTCTCTCTCTCTCTCTCTCTCTCTCTCTCTATATATATATATATATATATATATATATATATATATATATAGGGGAGTGCCCGGGTGCGGGTGGTATTATAAAAATGTCCCGGAATGAGAGATTTGGAGAGCCGAGTTCGAATTCCAGTCGAGTTCGTTACATTCACTTATGCGCAAGTACCCTTGGGAAAGGCATGAATCCATCTCTTCTTCCCAAGCTATTTGGTAAATAGCAGGACAGAATGTACCCTATGACCTTGGCTGGCAACGAATCTGGGTGGAGGACAGCACCTTAATTCGAACCAGCCGGGTATGAGTTGGAAAAGAGCGGATGAACTTCGCATAGGAATCAACAGATAACACGCCATATGTAGGTCTCCGTCGGTCAAGATTTAACATGAATAGCATCCAAGTTGTCTGCTTAGATGTAGCATCGACGTCGGTGACTGTAGTCGCCGAAGCGGGAGTGGCAATCTCTGTTGCAGAAGTCGCACGTGTGCTCTGTCTCTGGTCTGTTGGAGCTGTCACTTTGCATTCTGCGGGCCCACCGTTCCATGGAGATTTGTGTCAGTTTCTCATCCCCTGGCTTGATGTATTTGGTCAGGGTTCCTCTCCATTCGAATCGTATGGATGCCAAGCTCTCCCGTGACTCTGTGTTGATGTCCGCAGCTTTCATGTCGCGTTTCACGACAACGCGGAACGGCAGCTGTCGCCGCCCGGCGGGTCTACTTCCAGCGGCTAGCTCTCCATGCAGGAGGGCTTTGAGGACGTGACCGACTGGCATGCTATGGAAGTGGCCCAACCAACTGAGTCTATGCTGTACGAGCAGTGTGAACATACTGAACATACCTGCTCGAGGCAGGGCCTCTGTTGGGCGCCTGATCAGGCCACGCTAATCCCAAGATGCGGAGGATGCTTCTCATGTGAAACGCGTTCAGACGCCTTTCTTGCCTGGCGTACGTGGTCCAAACTCGGCTGCCAAATAGTAGTGTGCTGATAACGCAAGCTTTGTACACTGCCATCTAGGTCTTCACCGACAGCTTAGGATTGGTCTCGGTACCTTGTCCCAGTACGTTTTTTTTCAGGCTGATGGTCAGCTCGAAGTCTCTGCAAGCGTGGATGAAACGGTTCATTAGTGACTGAAGTTCACACTGGGTGTTAGTCGCTAATTCTGCATCATCGACAAAAAGAATGTCTCTTACAAGGGATTCATGTACTTTGGTCCTGGCTCTGAGGTGAGCGAGATGAACAACCCGCCATCTGAAGTGAGTGGGAACGAGGACGCAGCCCAGTTTGACCCTCGCTGCAGATATTAGAGGGCTCAGAGGAATCTGCCATTAAAACGCACAGTCCCCCACATGTCACTGTGGGATGACTCAATCAAACTCTGCAGCTTGGGTGGGCTGCCAATCTTGGGCAGAATTCTGAAGAGACCTTCTCTGTTGACGAGATCGAACTTTGCCCACAACGCTGAGTAGCAAGATGCCTCTGTAATTGTTGCAGTCGCTTCGCTCACCCTTGTTCTTGCAGAGGGTGACGATCTTGGCAGCTCTCATGTCTTTAGGCACGACCTCTTATTTCCCCCACGGGTAGAGGACATCGCGCAATGGGAGCAGTAGGGCAGTCATGCAGTGCTCGATCAGTTCGTGGGGGATCCCATCCCTGTCAGGGGCCTTCCCTGAGGCCAAGATATCAATGGCCTTGTTAAGATCCTCTATGGTCGGTTCGGTATCGAGGTTCTCCCTGACCGGCAGGCACTCTATGGGATCAAGGGCTACGCTCGTTGCAGAATTCTGCCTGGAGTAGAGGTCGGTATAGTGTCCCACCCACCTCTCTATCTGTTGCCCTTTGTCTACAATGACTTCCCGGGGGTGGGGGGATTTGATGGGGGAGATGTTTTTTTCTGCACTGATCCCATTGGCGTCTTGATGCCATCATACACCCCTCATGTGTTTCCTATAATTACTGCTGTCTGGATGGTTTCGCTAAGCTCTGTCTCGTACTTGTGGGCGCGGATCTGGCAGTTTGATGAGCTTGCTCCTGGCAGCTCGCAGGTTTCTCTTGCTGGATGACCGCTTGTATTCTGTAAGAGCGGCGCCCTTGGCCACAATGACAGGATTCATCTCAGCGGACTTTGCCTCAAACCAGCCATATAACTTTGATGTATTTCACCCAATAGTGGCCAAGGCAGTGCGATGCATGGTATCCCACAAGGTAGCCCACTTCTCCGTGGCAGAGTCTCCGATTCGCGAAGTTGTCCGCTCGTTCTCAAACCTCTTGACAAAGGTCTGGCTGGCTCATCTTGCTGACATCAATTCGAGGATTACCCTCATTCTTTCCGCAGTGGCACCTCCTGGGCTTGAACTTGATCTTGTAACACACCAAGGAGTGGTCTGAATCGCAGTCCGCTCTGTGGTAAGAAAGTATGTGAAGGACATTTTTAATGTCGGCACGTCTGACCAATATCAGATCCAGCGGCTGCTAGTGTTTTGACCGTGAATGTCTCCAAGAGACTTTGTGCTGGGGCTTGGTCCTGAAGGAGGAGTTGGCTATGTGCAAGTTATGGTAAGTGCATAGCTCGAGCAGTCTCTGGCCGTTGTCGTTCGTCTTGCCGACGCCAAATTGTTCAAGGCATAAATGCCAAGGGTAATCAGCACTCACTCTTGTGTTGAAGTCGCCCAGGAGAACAAGATGTTGCTTTCTGGGGATACTGCTGATGGTGGTTGACAGGTTGTCGTAAAACTTGTCAGGAGTGGTATAGAGTGTCGAGGCATACACGCTGACGAGTGTGACAGGGCTTGTAGTGGTGTTGAGGCGGAATATAAGAAGTCTCTCGGAGCCATTGCTGCTTGGTTCTACCGCATTCAGCAGGCTGTTCCTCACTGCGAAGCCCACTCCGTGTTGGCGTAGTTCGTCGGAGCTCTTCCCCTGACAGAAGAATGTGTAGTCCTTCTTTAGCGATCCAGAGTCAGCCAAACATGTTTCCTGTAGAGTGGCGATGTCCACATGAAGCCTCTTGAGCTCGCCGTTGATGAAGGCAGTTTTCCTGGAGTCGTTGATGTCCTGGGGATTTTCAGAGAGTCCGGTCAGCATAGTCCGGACGTTCCCACAGCCCAGTTTTAGAGCCGATTACTCCTGGAAATTTTTGCTGTTGCCTGGTGTGAAGGTTGCAGTTTCCTTGTCGAATGTCTCCTAATCTCCATGCACATAATGAAGAAAGCAGACCGTGGCCGGATAACATCATACTGGCTGGGACCCTAACAGGTACTAGCACCCCGGATCAGTGTGGAACTGGGAGCAATAGCAATTAAGAGGTGGTTCCATGCATCTCAAAACCTCCTGATCAGAGGTCTTGCTACCGGATGTAGTTTGTCGTCTTACATGCAGTAAGAAGATAGAAAACTTCTATTACACTAAAAGCCAGCGATTTTAGCATTATTTGATATGTAGCAGACAGTGTAATGCTGCGATGATGGAAAGTGTATGCATTGCAGTGTACAGGTAATTGACTACATTCAGCAAATCATTTGTGCAGTTTGTTCAATAAAACCTCATCCGTCGTTCTATGCGTGAGAATCCACTATATATATATATATATATATATATATATATATATATATATTATATATATATATATATATTCCAGTCGAATTCCAGTTGAATCCATTAAATTCACTGACGTGCTAATACCCTTGGGAAAGGTGTGAATCCTCTTCTTCTCCCTCCAACTATGGGTTAAATAGCAGGACAGACTGAGTTCTATAGCCTTGGATGGCAACTGGTCTAGGAGAAGGACAACTCTGAATTCAAAATCCGCAGAGGGTCTTTTGGGGACCTTGTAGCACGTAGTGCACCAGGTTTCTGTATTCGGCCCTTTAAAAACTGTGGATGGTCCTGCACGAAACCTTCACCACTATAATCAAATCTCAAGTGGTGCTGTTGGGCTGTCAGTTTCTGAGGAACTGAACTGCTTGACCCTCATACGTCGAATTCGGCGGAAGAGTCGAGTATATATATATATATAGAGAGAGAGAGAGAGAGATAGATGGATAGATAGATAGATATGGATATAGATATACATACATATATATAGATATATATATATGTTGGCTCTCTCACGTATCTTGAGCACTCTCATTTAAATACGGAAAATACTATATATATATATATATATATATATATATATATATGGTACGTTAAAAGTCACTCTCCCATGTTAAAATACTTATAATTTATTTATTAACTATAATTTTTACAAGAAATGGATATGAGAGGAAAGCGTTTTAGCATAAGGTTTTATTTAAAATTCGATATGGGCATCGGATTTCGCTACCACCTTCTAGAGCCGCCCAGGAATTCCGTCAACTGATTTCACCAGGATATCTTGTGGTTTGGAAGACAACTTTTATTCACCCTTCAAATTTTTCTAAGTTTGGTATAGTTGACATGCTTCTAACCCCGCCCCACAAAAAAGTCACAGGGTGTTAAATCAGGACTATTGACTGGCCACTCATACAT